ACTTTCATCGTCATCACGTGAGTCATCTATGCATTCCACACCAGAATCACTTGTTGCAGTAGATTGGGGAATCTTAACATCGTCCATGGGTTTTGTTATAAAGGGGTGTTCCAATGGGTAGTCCGGTTCAGGTATGGGTATTGAGCATTTCCAGGTCTCCAGGCTCTCAAACCGTTTGTCATTTTCAATCATYTTTTGTCTCGCCACAATGCTTGGATTAGAGACGGCTCTTTTCACGGGTTTACAGTACTCCGGTACATCAATATAGTTTCCAATTGATTTGGATCGCTTTCKTTGAACAGGTTTTTTCARTTTGTCTATTGATTTTGATCTCTGAGKTGCCTTTCTTTTTGTCTTGTCAAACGAACTGTCAGAGGACTCATTTTCATGTCGAGGCTGGTGAATGATTGCGTCACCGTGAAGGACCGTCCCATTTTGAAGCGTGTTTGAAACATTTTCTCTACTTTCAAATTTAGTAACCGTTCCTTCAGGAGGGYTCTCGGAAGGAGACTGTCTTTTCTGCTCTGTTGTYGAGAATGCCTCACTCAACTTGCCTCGCCTTAGTGATCGATTTCTCGTGTCTCTGCAAAGGCCGTCTTCTTGTTTTTCATTTTCATCCGCGTTCTTTTTCACTCTTTTGGGGAAAGTAGATCCTGAAATTGTGTCTTTACAAAGTCCGTCKAGTTTGGGAGAGTTTTCGTCGTCGCTGATTTCTACTATATGATCATGAGCTTGCCAAGGTTGTCCGTTTTGTCCTTGGTGTTTTAATGACCTATTTCTTGGAGAAACATTGAGAATTGTCAGCATGGACATTATTATAAGATCAAGAATATTTTATTTTTTCATATAGTATACTCAATTACCAATAACTTATGTTTTCTTTTCCAAATACAGTTTTTAAGAATRCTAACTGTAAAAGTAGGAAAACGTTTTCAATGAAAATAAGCTGTAAGCAAGAGATGTTTACCGAGAACGGCCATATGCATCCGAAGGACCGTAGGCCCGATGAAAGTGTATGTCTTATGGCGGATGTTCGAGGTAATTACGTATTTTATTATGTCATTGAAAAGGTTTTCACAGAACAACAATTCAAAGTAACATTATTGGTAAAACAATCGTTGTTCCTGAATTTCCAGAACGAAGATGTGAGCAATAGCTTTTCAATTCTATTTACAGTAAAGCTAACGAACCTGAACTGCAACCCAGAAAAGTAGTTTTTGTTCTTATCGGTTAGCACAGTAGCATAGTGATTTAARACGGGTAGTCGTGTTCACAAGGTCGAGGCTTCGAGGAGTCCAACAGGGGTATTTATCATGTATTACCATACTAGTGGACTATTGCAAATCCTTCGTTGTGATTGGCTACGCTACTCGGGGTCTATTTTCAGTAGTCTTCGACTAGCGAAAAGCGACAAATTTTTGCGTGTTTTTAGCAATAAAAGCATTTAGTTATTTATATATTTCATTCATTTTTTGCCTAACTAGTATGGTAATACTAAAACAATTAGATCTCTCGGCCTCGTGGACTACGAGCTGATAGCCCATGAGGCCCTTCGGCCTCCACTCGCCCTCGAATTCTAATTGTTAAATAGACGTTTTTCGGCAAATTCTCTACTCAGTAAATGATTTTGGGGATCATAAAARATTCTAAGTATTGACGGAGGGTGTATAGCAAGGCTAGCGGAAATATGACCTAAGAKTGTTTACAGTCCTAACAGGACACCCTATTTTCACACCCTTTGTTCTTTCATAAACAGTTTTGTTCAAGCTCTTCTTACCTTCTCCTCCTTTTGCGACATGCCCAAATAGTTAGGAAAATGAGAACCAAAATTAGAAAACCTCCAACAGCGCTYAACAATATTATCAACCAAAGCTCCATTTTTTTCTGAAACAAAACAAATTATAAATATATCTAATAGATGGAATATGTGTAGTTTTAAATCATTGCTGTACAATATCAGGGTGAATGATTATCATACTCCAGACTATGGGCTCAAATCCAGCATTCTCATTGGCTACTGAACTATGGTATATTCATGCTATACCGTGGTCGCATCGAATAAAGCGAAAAATGTCGAAAAAATTGTTCTTGACTGTTATTTGTCAAATTTGCTCTGTAGTTTGATGGTACTAAAATAGTAAGACCACTTGGTCTCGTGAACTACGAGTCTAAGTTTACTGATATGCCGAGTACAGCGTCGTGGACTATCAACTCGTAGTCCACTCGACTTCGCTCAAGTTATACGTTAAGCAGGTTTGATTGAATTTTTCATGTTCGTATTGTGAAATAGTTATATTAGTTGAGTTCTTCACTTTTTGACATTGAATTTGGTGATTTTGGAAGTTGAATATAAACGTTTGCCCATATATTGGTAATATTGAACTCATTGCTATTTTGATTAGACCGAATGAATAAATTGGTGGATATTTATCCCCATATAGATTCGCCGTCCGTCTATTCTTAATGAKGTGTTTGAGTATAATTTCTACTTACTTTATGAAGAGATGGTCAAACAAACGCGGTTTTCCCACGGATTTGCTCTRATGTTTACAATTGTGTTGAGGCAATACAATAAAATAAATCGTAGCTGACTAATGACTCGTGACGATTGTTAATCGAGAACATTTTTGGACCTACTAGAAACCATTGTTTACCACAATGKCAATGCAAATTTCAAGTTATAGAGAATCTTTATCAACTCGTATTTTACCTKTATTTTATAACACATACGTCAGATACTTAGGGGAGGGGGCTTGGGATTTGTTTGCTCAATAATAAGATAGTTATAATGCAGTGGGTATTGAACTTTGTTCTTTTCATCTAATCAGTAAATTTCTTGATTTATTGCCTTAGAGATGTAGAGTTATCAAAATCTTGATGCGCCCTCCTATCGAGTTTTGCACATTTTTCAATAGTTACGTAAGAAGTGCGCAGTCTTTTCATGGCGTCATCTTCTAGTGTCTTAACATTGTTACATTTATCTTAAGACAGCAGCGAATCGCAATTTTACGAATAGTCCTAACTAGTGCTGATATCAKCAGTGTCGATGTTCTTTCACACGGTGTAAAGTAGAAAGTCTCTTACTGATTCATTGTATCGTTTCGCTATGATACTGGCTGACCCAAGCACTTGGCGATTAATTAAAAAAATAATTGAATAGATAATTAATTGCATAGTTTCCGCGACAGACAGGAATCATACCAGACAGACTTCGCAAYAGTAGAAATGATGCCGAGCTGGCCATATGCTAAACTAATATTGACATTAAAATTATTTGTGAATTTTGTTTTTCTCCGTCTTCCATTGCCCTTTGTCGTTTTTAGACCGGGGGGGTGGGGGGTTGTTTTGTAGGTGGTAAAAGTGACTATAGCTGTATTATATCATTCACGATATGCTATGCAGTTTCGTTGGTAGAATTTACAATCAACAGTTTTGTTTTAAAATCTTTCAGTTTGTGGTCGTTGGTTCGCCTGCAYGACTTGAAATCATCCAAAAACAAAAYTAACATGCTTTCATAACGATTAATTTGAATATTTCGTTTTAATGAGTATAGAAACTCTCTTCTCACCATTACGTTTCCTTGCCGCTAAAGCCATTTCATAAACAGAGAAGATTGTATAAGATATTTGCTAAATAAAATAGCAAAGTGAGCATTTTTGATATTTCGTGATGTGAAGGTCATGAGAAAAGGCCTGCATTATCTTTAAAGGAAATCAGTTTCTTACTYACCATTCGCTTTACTCCCGACAACTGTGATGATAGAAATCCAATGTGATTGTTATTATATATTATTATATAATAATTAATTGTCCGTTAGTTCAGMAAGTTTTACACAATGTCAAATGTTGGAGGTAAATATGCTGTGCAGAGTGTCATAGTTTGGATCTAATGGTTGGTTAATCACGCGAAAGCCAAACTGACATCACGTATTTGCGCTTTGTTTGATGCGGACCACCATGTCGCGAGGGGACTGAGACAAGTACATTAAGGATAATTTTGTTCCGTATAGAAGCAGTTCGGCAGTGGATTAATCACGTTGTGTATTTTGTATGTCAGCAGTAACAGCCGCCTAGTAGTTTATTCATAGTTTATGTTGTGTTCTATATAACTTYATTATTGCCATATGACCATCAATGTGAATGATTTATCGAGTAAAACTACTACAAACGCACCAGTACCTTTTTATTGTCATCACAGAAAGAACTAGATTATTGTTCGATACAGCTCACTAAACATSTTGTGACAAGGTTGCTAACACTGCAAAAAACCATCACTGACATATGAGATATAAGATGAACTAAAATCCCGTAATGAAGCATACATTTGTACTATAGAATGTCTAGCCAATTAGGTTATTGCATTCTTCACGATGTTATTGCATTCTTCACGTATTAACAATATAGACACAATYAAACGTTCAGCGTTTTAATAAATACTGACGGACTTGTGAATCAATCTGTGACGTAACACATCTGGAATAGAAGAATCTAGTGTACCATGATGTAATATGATGGAATGTCAGAGTGTAAAAGCGTTTATCCTTGATGAGAGAAGAGACTCTACTCGATGAGTCTACAGCTACTACGTGACGTCACATGTTAATACGACGCTATAGAAGACAGGAAAGACTCCTACTTCATCGAAACTGCCAGCAAGTAAGTGACGTTATATGCTAATACCACGTGATGGAAGACAGAGAAGAGACTTTGATAACTTGATGAAAGTTGCCAGCAAGTGAGTGACGTCATATGCTAATACCACGTGATGGAAGACAGAGAAGAGACTTTGATAACTTGATGAAAGTTGGCAGCAAGTGAGTGACGTCATATACTAATACCACGTGATGGAAGACAG